GCCCCCCCCCCCCCCCCCCTGGAAAGCATCAGCCCTGTATACCTATGAATGTGCCTGGATGTGCCCTGCCTCATTATTTTCCAAAGACTAATACCAGATGATTAGAAGGAAAAAGTGCTGCCACTCAATGAGTTAATCAGACGTACATCTGTCCATGCATTCACACACGTGCCCTATTTTATTATTTTACTCTGTCTAACATTGGGAGACAATTTTACTCATCAAAGGGAAAGTTCAATGGATTTGATGGCGCTCAATGGGTTAATGAGTTAAAATCCTATAAATGCTAAAAATTTTGACTAAAGTAAAATGCATTTTTGCAGGAATTTTTTGAAGTTATGAATCTTGCTTGCAGGCTCACAAAACTATTAATGAGAGCCCTGCAATATGGCCTCCCCAAAATATGTCCTAGGAAATATGACCAGGAGGGGAAATTTAGGAGGGGGGGATTTTGGGGGGTGGGCCAAAAGTATATAAACAGCCATTTTAAAATACCTGAAAAATTTCTCGGTTGTAACAGGGTTAATAAGCCACTCAAATGTCTTTCTGGGCAACTCTGCCACATCGCTTTGGGAAGTAACTTTGTGTATAAATCCAGCCGACGCTAATTCCTTTGCTTTCACAATTCCTGGTGACATGTCAACTGTATCCTTGCTTGCTGTTACACTATCTTTTTCTGAGTCAGTTTCCGATACATTCTCACTTTCATTCAACTTTTTCTTTTTATTTTTCCTTTTTTTATTCAAACCAATGTTTCCTATACTCTGTCGAATTCTCGACGCTCTAGAGAACTGCTTATTTTTACTTGCATTGTGATTATTATTGCCTTCTGTGGATACATTGATAAGTTTCGCTTTTTTTCCCCCTGATGGTTGATTATCACTCGTTCCGTGTGCATTTGTTTCAATTTTCGCTGATTCCTGCAGGGTCTCGGCATTCAAGTTTAAATTTTCATTGTTTTCGGCCATTTTTCTTTGCATTTTGTAAACACTGAACGCAGACTTTCGCTTCGCAGACATCTATAAAGTTATTTTCCGCTTTTTGACGTATATAAGGTTTTTAATCTTCAAAAAAACAAGCAAATATTTCAAACAAATTGCAGTTTTAACTGACTGTGTGCTGTAAAATTGTGAAACTTTAACTTTTGCCGCGGCCCGCGTACGACTAATCCCGAAGTCTGTGCCGAAGACCCGAACTCAACCCGAACTTGGGCCGCTGGTACTGAACCACTGGATTGATTTTTTCGGTATCCTGACTCCTAACCATAACCTAACCCTATGACCCAGATATAATTAAATTTTTGCAATAAAAAAAAATTGTAACAAAATATCCCGAGATTCCCTAAAATTGCTAAAAATCACTGTAAAAAATCCAATGTTCACATGACCGCGGGGTAAATTGAAATATGCCTTAGCGGGGAGGGGTAGTAGAGGCATAGAGATTATAAATAACACTAGAGGAGGCATTGTAATCTTAATTCAGTAAAAGGGAACGCGACTATTGGGGGGGGGGGGATTCAAGTCCCGGATGTGTATTCGTGTTCCCATTGGTGACGAGTTTCAAATCAGCCAATGAGAGCACGATTTTATATCCGGGACTTGAATTTGCCCCCCATTAGCTGCGTTCCCAATTTTTAAACTCGATGCCTCCTCTAGTGTTATTTATAATCTCTATGAGTAGGGGGCCGTAGAGGCAGGTAGAGGAGTTAGCCTGCTCGCAGGCTAGTAGGAGTCTGTTTGCGTTATAGTTTTGGGTGATAAAAATGTAATTTGCAAAAGAACTCCAGGTGCGCCTGGCTTGCGAAGTTGAGCACGCTTCGCCGCAGAAACATACATATCTTCCACACCGACCAATCGATCAACAAAGGATTTACTTTATTATATAACGGGATCCTTTGATTTCCCAAACATCGCCAACTGCGTGTATGCTATAGTGCGCCGATCAAAACGAAGGTGCAACATCCCCCCCCCCTCCGGGCATTGACATTTTGCAGCAATGATCAAATGCCCTCGAGGCATTGTAAATGATTTAATTTGAAGGTTAAAATTCTTCAACTTTAACTTCCCCAGTCCATTCTAGTCCAGCCAATCTCAATTTTCGTGAAAAATTCGTTGGTGTTTCCCAGAGCCTCAGGAAGCCTCTACAGAGGATTGCAGGCTCAGGGGTCGAGATTGGCAAGTACAGTGGGGTTTTACTTAATATGTTGAGGTAATTTTTCATTTCTGGGGTTCACGTTACCAATTGTTGCAAAGGGCCTATTAGTACAATGATTATCTTAGTGGTAGCAGCTGCCTCTTACCGAGGCGCCCTTTGTAAAAACACGACGTGCGTATGACATTGTATTGGCAAAAGAAGCACGAAGGGGCTAATAACTTATGAACGTTTCGGTTCAAGTCCGCTGACCGTCTCTCTAAACGTCATGTAATATCACTTATAATGTAAGTTGCTAATTCGCGCGTCGCCTACCCTGGATTCCAGAGCCTTCGACAGTAAATAATAAATTGAAATGTCGCGAAGGCTCGACAGTAAATAATAAATTGAAATGTCGCGAAGGCTCTGGTTAAACGGGGAGATTCTTTGATTAAACCGCGCCAATCACAAAACAGAATGAGTGGTTTTAGTACAGATTCTGTACTAAAACCACTAATTCTGTTTTGTGATTGGCGCGGTTTAATCAAAGAATCTTCCCGTTGAACCAGAGCCTTCGCGACATTTCAATTTGTTATTTACTGTCGAAGGTTCTGGAATCCAGGGTACGCGTCGCCCCCTGAATACTTAATGTATCCTTATTATATTGCTGCTTAATCGGAAATAGAATAATTCCCGATGTGAGAATTGTTAACCATAGCCCGAGCATCAGGCCATTTTTCCTGGAAGGAAACAGGGCCTGACACAAATTAAATGTTGTCGGGCTTTCACTTGATTGGTCCATAACAAAGAAATTTTAATGCGTCGCTTTGATTGGTTAATGCTAATTAATAATACGTACTATTGTTCATGATTCATTTATTACCGGTAACTATATAATTAGATTGTTTTCGAAATTAATATGTGAAGTTGACATTTCTCTGTGACTAAATATAAACCTTTTCTGGTGATTTTTTAAGGTCTTCAATTTTTTCCCAAATTTCATGTGCTTTTCTAAATTTTCTTTAAATTTCCTTAAAAACTTCATTTTCTCCAATAGATCCTTCCAGAAAGTAGGTCATTTTAGTTAAAGATCCTTGTTTTCGTTCAAAGTGTAACCAATGGCGCGACGCCCAGTATTTCCACAAAATTCCCTTATTTTCGGATGTGTAAAATGTCCTGAATTTTTCTTTTTTCCGGGGAATTCCTAAAGTTTTTCGATATGTTTCGCAATCAGAATACCTTTTTACAATTCAAGGCAACAAAATTACTGTTTCTTGTCTCTCCTCCGCAGAGCCTCCTTAAGTATTTAAAAAACCTACATGAAGTTTCCAGAATAAAAGTGAGCGCGCGCGGTGTGATGGGAAGATTGAGCTCTTCCCATCACTCCTTGCGCGCTCACTTTTCCCTCACTAGAAACTTCATGTAAGCCTCTGCGGAGAAAAGTTTCTTGTTGAACGAATACCCGATTATTATTAAATGCGTCCCCTCTGCCTCGTCGTTGGGACGAGAAAAAGCTCTGGAACTGGCAAGCTAAGTTGATAAAGGAATCTAGATCTTATCAAGCCCCGTTTACACTACGCTCAATTTTTGGACTACCTATTCTTGGACTACCTATTTAGGTAGTCCAAGAACCAAAAAAGTGGTACGGTACCAAAAATTAAGCGTAGTGTAAATGGGCTTCAGTGGATATTGGACAAAATTTCAATTATCACATCCTCAAGCTTTTTAGTGTTTTATATTGAAAATTCCAGGATGTGATATTGGGTGAAATCTCCGCAGACGATCTACTTTCCTAGTATTTTTGAAAGCTTCCTCCCAGTACGGTTTGTGTTAATGCTAATATACTAGTTAATAGAACGTTGTAATTTGCTAAAAGATCAGGGTTTTTTTTTAAGAAAAGTTTAGAACTGCACATTTTTTCATATTGTCACATGTCATGCGGTGAAATCAGGGACGTAGCGAAGCACCTGAAGTTGGGGGGGGGGGGGGGGGG